ATAAGTAAAGACAGCAAGTAATTTTAAAACCTTGAGATTGCATGTTTCACAGTATTATCAATGAAATTCTCAGAAACATCTAAACAGCATTAAATTAAGTTGCAGTTTGTTCGCTCTTGCTGTTCTACACTAGAAGAGTTTTATGACATATCCAAGACTTTATTTAAATTATGGTAAATGGTAAATGGACTGTACTTATATAGCACCTTTCTATCTTATCAAGATACTCAAAGCATTTTACACTACTATCATTCATACAGCACTCTACTATAGAATAATCAGTGTTTTTATCACATTTTATCACATTCATACATCGATGGGACTCACATCGGAGGCAATGAAAGGTTCAGTGTTACCCAGGGACACTTAGGCAGGTGACTGCTGGTGGATTCAAACCCCCAACTCTTGCATTGGAGGGTGACTGCTCTAACCACTCAGCCACAGCCGCCCCACAAATTATACATTTGTTGTTCCCTTCAGGACGTATTATTGGAGCTTTTGGAGGAGTGTGCAGACGGACTGTGGAAAGCGGAGCGTTACGAGCTCATCTCTGACATCTACAAGCTCATAATCCCAATTTATGAGAAGCGCAGGGACTTTGAGGTAAACAAACCTCTCATTAGGAGTGCAGTTCCTTCTTAACACTAATATCTAATTTAGCCAAATCCTTTTCATAACAGAAACTGGCTCACCTTTATGACACGCTGCATCGTGGGTACAGCAAAGTGACAGAGGTCATGCACACAGGAAAGAGGCTGCTGGGCACATATTTCAGAGTGGCTTTCTTTGGCCAGGTGAGTCAAACTGCAGTAATATTTTCTGTCCACCAAGGTTATTTTAAGTGTTTATTTGTTTTAAGACCTGTTGATTCTGATTTCTGAACCTTAAACTCACAGAAGAGCACAAGAAGAAATGATTTTAGACTTAAAGCTGCTGAGGGTGTGTGTTTTTGAGGCGTTTATGACCCTCTTTAATCCACTTCTCTGCTTTTTTTATCCTCTGTGAAGGCGGCGGTAAGTCATGCAGGAGAGCCTGCTCGCTTTGTTTGGACAGTCTGAGTCTCTGTGGTGTTGGTGCTGTTTTAACCCATCTGCACGTGTGAAACAGCTTGCTGCTTTAAATTAGACTGTTCAGTGTCAGCTCACATTTTCCTCCCATTTTCATTACAGCTTTAGATTTAGAGTGTGTTTTTTCTGTTGGAAGGTGAATCTATGTAAAAGGTCATTTTCAAATAATGACGAAACTATTTAGAAGTTTTCTAAATATTGATGAATTTAGAAGTTTTAAAAGGCTACTGTTTTATACCTGCTATTTTGCTTTGGAATACAGAAATGCTCTTGAAGTGCAGACCTTATGTCAGTGAGGCACGTTTGAATGGGATTTTAGTACCCAACAAGTAATTTACTGAGAAAAGGTTTGTTCTTACTGGTGCTCATTTTTGGGAACCGGGCCTATTCAACTTCTACATAACGCTCCCTCATTAATTATTTGCAAATCCAAATACCCTTTGAAGGGATCACTTTATAAGTTTTATGTCCCTTTATTTAAAATTGTGATAATTGTATCCAGTAAAAACACATGTTTAATAACTAAAAGAAATATTGAGTTTAATATTGGCTGTCAGAAAAGCTTATGGTCATAAATATCAGCTTAAACAATATTTTAGGTTTTTGTGAAGTGTAGTATAAATTACTTCTGCCCTATTTTTTTACTACTTGTTAATCTGTCACACAAGCAAATTTTCAGGAAACTTTACTCAGTTTAATTTCCTTCACTTAGCATTTTTTTATATATATATTTCCTAACAAAACAAGTTTCATGCTTTTAAAAATGTTTGTGTTATGGTGAGAAATGTAAATTGGAACAAATTTTTATGAGGAATCGAGCATTTATGTTGCAGAATTTAACCAGGAAAATATTTGCTTTATTTATTGTGATCATTTGTTTAACAAAACTTAAAATAAGGTCAGTTTTATCATTATTTTAATATGTTCTTTAGATGTTTTTAATATTTTTTGGTGTTGTGTATTTCTCTGCCAAATTCCATCCATCCATTATCTTCCTCTTTTTCCGAAGTTTGGTCGCAGGGGCGGCAGCTTGAGCAGGGAGGTCCAGACATCTCTTTCCACACTTCTTCTGGGAGGTGTTCCCAGGCCAACCGAGAAACGTAGTCTCTCCAGCGTGTCCTGGGTCTTCGCCGGGGCCTCCTCCCAGTCAGACATGTCTGAAGCACCTCCCTAGAGAGGCGCCCAGGAAGCATCCTTACCAGATGCCTGAACCACCTCAACTGTCTCCTCTCGATGTGGAGGAGCAGCCGTTCTACTCTGAGCCGCTCCCGGATAACTGAACTTCTTACCCTATCTCTAAGGGAGAGTCCAGCTACCCTGCAGATGAAACTCATTTCAACCACTGGTATCTGTGATCTCATTCTTTCAGTCACTACCCAGAGTTTGTGACCATAGGTGAGGGTCGGAACGTAGACTGACGGGTAAACAGAGAGGTTTGCCTTACAGATCAGCTCCCTCTTCACTACACCTTACCGGCACAGAGTCCACAATACCATATAAATGCTGCACCAATACGTCTGTCATCACACCCTCCATTCTTCCCTCACTCGTGAACAAACTTGAGGCAGAACCTCACCCTCAACCCAAAGATAGCAATCCACCATTTTCCGACTGAGGACCATGGCCTCAGATTTGGAGGTCCTGATTCTCATCCCTGCTGCTTCACAATCGACTTTTAACCGTGAGAGCTGAAGATCATGGCACAGTGGCACCAACAGGACCACACATCATCTACAAATAGCAGATGGAATGGAATATTTTCCATCAAACAGAATCCTGAGACCACCGAACTGGACTCCCTCCGCCCCCTGGCTGCACCGAGAAACTCTGTCCATGAAAGTCAGGAACAGAATTGGTGACAACAGGCAGACCTGGCAGAGTCCAACTCCCACGCTGAGGGGGTCCGACTTACTGCCAGCAATGCGGACCAAACTCTTGCACCGCTTGCATAGGGACCAAACAGCCGTAGCAATGGGCCTCCAATACCACACACGCAGAGCACCCCACACAATGTACCTTGAGGAACACAGTCTATGTTAAAATACAACAGTTAAATAAACCGGTGACTTGAATCCTTAAAATAGCAAACTGTAAACTAATCTCAACATATCATACATAGATTGACCTTTCAGCTGATAAAACAGCTAAATAAAACCTGAGTTTGTTAAAGGCTGACATGGAATAACCCAATAACAATCAGTCAACACTGTTTTTGCATGGCACTCATCTCAGTGTTTCTGCTTTTGTGTTAAATAATCTTTTGTAATGTCAGTACTGACCCTTATTTTAGTTATTCTCTTTTATGAGTTATTTGTCAGGTGTGTTTGCCTCCAGCTGTGCATATGTTTTAATTTTTTGTTAGATATTAATCTGAAGGTTTTTAATTTTTCCTGACATTCCGGACAGTTTTTTGCAGTAGTTTATATATTTGAATGCATTGAATGTATTTATCGTTTTTGTAGTTAAGAAATAACTATGTTTTATTGTGTGTGTGTGTGTGTGTGTGTTTCCACACCCCTGTAGCAGTACCAGTTTACTGACTCAGAGGCTGAGGTAATTTGGTGTTAAAGCAAACGTTTGAGTTGGACCTGCAGTGGTGATTTAGCTTGTGTCGTCTAACTCTGTCTGCGGCGCTATTTCAACTTATTATTTTAGTTCTTTAACTCCTGCTGTGCTCCAGCCTCAGTTTTGTATCTTTCATTGTAGAAAACCCTTGAATTAAGTGATTCAGCTCCTTTTAGGAAATGCTTTGCAACATTTTACCATTAATATAAAAAAGAAATAACAAATAGGTGCTTTTACTGACAGTGTGAGAATTATCTCCGTCAGTGTGTTTAATCTCAATAAACTAATTTAGCGAGTTCTTTCTGTAGTTTGTAGTCTTGGATCTTAGATGGTTTTTTTTTGTTTCTGTTTTTTTTTTTAGTTTTAACACCAAATTAAATTTTTTATTATTTTATCAGTGTCCTACTCAGTGTTTACATGTAGTTTGATGTGCTGTATTTTTATTTTTCTATCCCACTAGATCATCAGGCTTTGTGTATTAAGGTAGCTTATGAGAGCATTTCTTTCTTCTTCAGGGCTTCTTCGAAGATGAAGATGGTAAAGAGTACATCTACAAAGAACCCAAATTCACCCCTCTGTCTGAGATCTCCCAGAGGCTCCTGAAGCTGTACTCAGACAAGTTTGGGCAGGAGAACGTGAAGATGATTCAGGACTCAGGGAGGGTGAGATTTTAGGCGTTCACTATTTTGTAAAAACATTCAGTTTTAGAACTACTGATCACATTTAATAATTTGTATTCTCTCTAGATAAATCCCAAAGACCTGGACTCCAAGTACGCATACATCCAGGTGACGCATGTGACGCCGTACCTGGATGAGAAGGAGCTGGTGGACAGGAAGACAGACTTTGAAAGGAGCCACAACATTCGTCGATTTGTATTTGAGATGCCTTTCACAATATCTGGCAAGAAGCAGGGCGGCGTGGAGGAGCAGTGTAAACGCAGGACGATACTAACCAGTAAATTACCTTTTTTCACATTTATATAGTATCTGCAATATTGCAGGGGTTAGATTTGTTGCTTCTCAGCGAGAAGGTCGCAGGTTCGCCTCCTGGCCTGGTGCCTTTCTGGGTGGGGATTACATGCGAGGGTTTTCTTCGATATCCTTCCACCAATCATAATATGCATGTTAGGCTAATTGGTCATTTTAATTTTTAAGGAAAAAAGGGTAAACTATGTGGATGGATGGATAGTATCTAAAACTGTATTAAAGTATTGAAATCAGAGACATCTCCTTTGTCTTCTTCACATTGATGTGAAGGTTATTATCTTTGCACCAGCTCTCCAGGTGTTCCACCTCCTGCCTGTAGCTGGACTCGTCATTGTTTGTGATGCATAACACCACTGCTGTATCGTCTGCAAACTTTACAATATGACAGTCTGGATGGGTAGCTGCACAATCATATGTGAGCAGAGTGAATAGGAGAGGGCTCAGCACATATCCCTGAGGAGAGCCAGTGCTGAGATTTATGGTGGAAGAGGAAAAGTTGTGTAGTAGTTAAAAAGCTCCATGGTGGCAGGGCTCTGGATGTGGACAAGCTCCACCCTTAGTTCATCAAGGCTCTGGATGTTGCAGTGCTGTCTTGATTGACCTGCCTTTGCAATGTTAGGTGGACATCGGGGACAGTGCCAGTGGATTGGCAGACTTGGGTGGTGGTTCCCCTCTTCAAGAAAAGGGTGACAGTAGAGTGTTCGCCAATTATAGGACCATCACTCTCCTTAGCCTCCCTGTTAAGGTCTATTCAGGGGTAGTGGAGAAGCAAGTCTGGTCATTGGTCGAACCTCGGATTCAGGAGGAACAATGCGGGTTCTGTCCTGACCGTGGAACACTAGCTTTTTGCCTTCACCAGGGTAGAGGGGTCATTGAAGTTTGCCCATCCAGTCTTCATGTTTTGTGGACTTGGAGAAGGCGTCTTGGAGAAAACTTGTAAAAGCTCTCCGTTTACCGGTCAGTCTACAACTCTACATTCTTACTGGCCACAAATTCTGGATAGTGACCGAAACAACAAGATTGTGGATTTCACATTAGCAGTTCAGCTGTTGCGTAACACAGCAGAAGTGTTTCTGATCAGGCATGAAAGGTCTTGATTAGCTTTTGAACATGTCAGCTGTTTATTATGGACATTTCCTAATTCTAATCATAGCTGTATTGTTTTATGATGTCAAATTATACAAAAGTTCAACCTTATCTCCTTATCTGTATCGTGTGGGAACTTTATTACGAGGTACAGTCAGCAGGAAAGTGAAAACTGAGCTGTAAAGATGAAGGTCTGAGCTCCTCACGTGTGTTTTTGTTGTTCGCTTCCTGCAGCCACACACTGTTTCCCCTACGTGAAGAAACGTATCGCGGTGATGTACCAACACCACACTGATCTGAGCCCCATCGAGGTGGCCATCGATGAGATGAGCAAGAAAGTGGCAGAAATCAAACAGCTCTGCTCCTCCAGCGAGGTGGACATGATCCGCCTGCAGCTCAAACTGCAGGGCAGCATCAGTGTCCAGGTGCCTGCTGTGGATCAACACATGCACACAAACCCTCACATCTTATGAAATCAGTACATTGAGGAAACGTGACTTTCTCCCTCCGCTCAGGTAAACGCAGGACCTCTTGCATATGCAAGAGCTTTTCTGGACGACACGTGTCCCAAGAAGTATCCTGAGAACAAGGTCAAACAGCTGAAAGAGGTCTTCAGGTGAGATGTTAGGCTTTTTAAAGGAGTAATTGTGTAAATATTAATTTCTGGTTTATGGTTTCTTCTGCATGTTTTTTGTACTGTAACTACTTCAGAATACTTTCAACTATTTTATAAAAATATTTACCTCATTCAGATCATTACTGTTATGACTTTTGCTTAGACTAACAATAAAACTGAACCATTTACCTTTCTAATCTAATTTAATATCAAAAATGTATTTTACCTAGTTGCTCATTTTTGCTTTTAGCGACTGTTGTACTTTTTATAGCTTACTAATACTGTTCTAATACTTTTCTCTTTAGCTGCTGTTCTGCTGTTTAAAGCTTTTAGATACTATTCGAACAATTTTAGCTTTTAGATTCAGTTTTATTATTTTAGCTTTAGCTACTTTTCTGCTGGTTATAGCTGTAAGCTATTTTTCTAACAATTTAGCCTTTTAGGATTTTTTTTCTGGTTATAACTGTTTATTATTTTAGCTTTGGCTACTGTTCTGCTGGTTATAGCTGTAAGCTATTTTTCTAATCATTTAACCTTTTAGTTATTTTTTTCTGGTTATAGCTGTTTATTATTTTAGCTTTAGCTACTGTTCTGCTG